GGCAGGTTTGTTAATTTGGAGGCACTCGGGTTACGAGTCAGGTGTAAACTACAGGCTCAAAGGAGTAGGGGTAAGTCAGCGGCAGGGGTATAAGTCTTCGAAACAAGCCTTAGTACACAATGCTTCCTCGTACAACTAATATACACGATACAAGAAGCGAATAAGCATCTACTGTATTGCTTAAGTGGACAAATTGCGGATAATCACCCGCCAATCAGTGGCGTGATTATGCACTGGTAGATTTTGCACCAATTCTGTGTATGGATGATTGCGGAAGCTATCCCGCTTCGAGCGTAGCGCTGCATGGTGAGGGGAAAAGAACGCGGAAGGGAAACTAGATAGGTATATGATCTTTAAAAGGAAGGCAAAAGATCAATCAAAAATAGAGCGATCAGGCTTGGAGATCTTATGACCCATTTATGAAAACCCAATGAACAAATTCGCTCCCTTTGCGCAAACGAGACGTAGGCGATGTTATCTCTCCCTTTCCAGTATCTCGGAGTAAGCCTGATACATTCGTGCGGGAAAGCTTCTCCTTATAGTCTGTGCGCTGAACGATGTACCCCAGCATAGCTGATACCAACGCTTACCTGTAAAAAGCTTTTTGTCGGCTTAATCTTAACTGCCGGCCGTTGCGGTACTGCAGCTCGGTACTTTCTCTCGAAATGACGTATGTACTTGGTTTCATGCATTTGGTTTAGTATGATGCTAAGAATAAGCCGCTTTGAGTACTCGGTTTGTGAACAAAAGTGAGCGAGGTTGTCAACAAGAAACTTTTGGCACGAATTGGGAATAGAAAAGCAGAGGTTGCATTTCATTTTATGGTGTTCTCCTTGTGTTTTTTTTTTCATGTTAAAGTATCAAAAATCCAATCTGAGAATTACTTGACATGGATTGTTTGGTCCAACCGCTATGGTTCGTTGCAATAACCATCGATGAAATGGACAGTCAATGTGTTCCGTTTCTCTTTCATCAACGTCTCACGTCCAATGCTGAGTAACTTCGCAACGTCCTGTCGGCAATCTAGACAACGTCAGCCTTTTACACTTTTGACGGCGAAAGGATAGGAGTGATTACCCAAAAACAGTCCCCGGAGTTCCTTTCCTTGGCCGCTTGCCAGCCACGCACACGTTTGTCCGCAAAGCGACGGGTCATCCTTGAAAAGGTGCTTGAAAAACTCTTCATCCGTGACATTCCTATCATACTTGTTCTTCACATCTTCTGCAATACCAGCTTCTTTGTGTTAGCATTCTGAGAGCCTTGAGACGAAAGCATGTCAACTTACCTCCACCCATGTTGCCTCGTACACCACCTGGATGAAGCGCATATATATGAATTGCAGGATCCAATCTTTCCAGCTCCATCTCTTTCTGCAGCGTATGCGTTGCGCGGATGAGCGCTGCTTTGGAAGTCACGTATCCAAGTGTCATGGGCACATCTACGGTTCCAGATCGCGATGCGATATTGATGATGCAGCCATGTCCACGGTCGCGCATTTGCGGTAGAAGAGCGTGGATGAGCATCAAAGGCTAGTAATAATCCAATTAGTCCAAGTCTTCCTTCTTGTTTCCCTCTCGTCCAAACAGATAATACGAACAAAAAAGAGAAAGAAACAAGTGAAACTTACAGCCTTGAAATTAACCTCAATCTGCTTCCAGAAATCCTCAAAAGCACTCATAATCAAGGGCCGTTGATCAAATATCCCCGCATTATTCACCAGTACATCAATTGGCCCCAGTTGCTTCGTCACCTGCGCCAGAACTTCTGTCAATCGCTCTTGATCCCGTACATCGCATCCAAATGCTTCTACCTTGACGCCAAAGGATAAGCACGTCTTCTTGGTTTGGTCTAGCTTGTTGACGTTGATATCCAGGAGGGCGACACTAGCACCAGATTTTGCTAGGGATTCCGAAATGGCGGCGCCAATGCCCTGCCCTGCACCTGTTATGAGGGCGATTTTTCCAGAGTTGGAGCCTTGGAGGGTTTCGGGGAGGATGGGCCCGTAGGGGACATGTTGTAGAGGAAGTGTACTGATGCCGAATTCTGCGGGATCCATTGTTGGTTTTGGTTTGTAGTGAATATTTTATACTTTGCAAGTTTTGTGTCTTAATGTAAATTCCAATTGCTAACTGAACTGCTGTTATTTGAATTCCAAGTGTGGCACGGTACTCTTCCGAACATAGGTGTCGGATGTGCGGGGGTGGTCTCGGGGTAACCGTAGCCCCACATGATGTTGTGGGGTTACAGACATCTATCATTGCCGGCTCCGATACACTCTCACTCTACTTAGAATGCGGCAGTATCTTTGATCGTGTGAGTATAGGCAATCTCTTATTGTTGGCATCAAATATGGAAACTGACATAAACAGGTCTGACACAAAGAACGTACGCATCGTGTTTGCAGCCCTCAAAGAAGGTCAAGTCATGGTACTTGTCCCTTTGATTTTCATCAAATACGAGACGCATACGTGCAGCCTGGAATGATAGTTCAATACCGTTATGGTCATGCTGAGCCACAATTGACGACATCAATATTGTCTGTAAAAGATAGAGGATGAAGCGGAAGGAATACGGTGACCTTATCCGAGCACCCAGTGAGTGTTATTAACTAGTATACAGAGCCGAGGAAGACGACACGAAAATTCCAGCATGAAGAGAAGGGATTACTCAACTGTTACAGAAAAGCCTCATATCTCGCCAAACCGCCTCTGATAGGTTGCGAAACGGGTTAGCCTGCCCACATACCGGTTGAGTAAGCATGATGCCGCCTTGGAAGCAGCAAGCCTCCTCGGTAATGCAAAAAGACTCCACTTTGGCGCAACGGCTACCTTGATACCGGAAAATGGATAGCTCGATCAGGAAATATCTAAAATTTAAGGCTTCCAGTTCGTTAAACGTCGGTACTAATTGCAATCAAAGAAAGTCGGATAGGTATCTGATTAGCATGTCCTAGCCAGTTGTACTTTGCAGACAAATGGCAGTATAAGTAAGCTGGAGAATCTACAATTGAAGCACCATCGCCGATTCTAGGCTCGTTCTGTCGCTCTCTTCGGAAGATCTGTTATTCAACAATGGCTCTTGTACGCAGAAGGCATCTCGCTTCACTACTGGCTGTACTGGCTCTCTTTGTCGAGTCAGCTATCTGCGAAGCAAACTGTGAAGCATCTACTTTTCAAGATGTGAAGCTCTCAAATGGAAAGATTCTCAATATCGTCACACAACTCCATACAGGCCTTTCATTCGAAGCTCCCGCAGAGGCGAATCATTACTCGGTTAATGTGACAGATCTGGACGCCTGCGAAGTAACTATCACCTACACCCACCCTGACTACAACGATACCATCAACACTTCAGTATGGCTACCCACTCCCGAGAAGTGGACTGGACGCTTTCTCGGCGCAGGAGGGAGCGGGTGGTCTACAGGACCAGACACTAACACTACGCTCCCTTGGGCGGCGAGTGAGGGCTTCGCTGTTGTCGCAACTGACGGCGGACATACTGGTGGAGACACCGAGTGGTCGCTAGTGAGTCCTGGAAACATCAACTGGATTCTGCTACAAGATTTCTCTTCAATTACATTGAATGACGCTGCGACACTTGGGAAAGCCGTCACCGAAAAGTACTATGGTAAAGCACCAAGCTACAGTTACTGGAATGGTTGTTCCACTGGTGGAAGACAAGGACACATGATGGCGCAGAGATATCCGGATCAATACGACGGGATTCTCGCGGCTGCGCCAGCAATCTACTGGAGTCAGTTGATGCTGCAGCTCTTTTGGCCACAGGTTGTCATGAACGAGAACGGTATGTGTCCCGTCGAAAGAATAGAATATCCTCGCTGATACGTCTCAGGCTTCCCTACCCCATGTGAGCTGGAGGCCATTAATGCAGCTGCCATTCAAGCCTGTGATGATCTCGACGGCCTCGAAGATGGTATCATCTCTCTTCCCAAAGAGTGTTCTTTTGACCCAGCAACTGTCACAGGAAAGGAATACATTTGCCCATCGTCAAACAAGAGCACGATAATCACAGAGACCGTAGCTACAGTAGCTCGTCTTATCTGGCAGGGTGCAACCACCTCCGACGGCGACTTCCTTTGGTATCCAGACAACATTGGTGCTCCCTTCAGCGGCCTCGCTAATACGACATGTGAAAATGGCGCATGTGTTGGTGTCCCATTCTTCTTACCCGAAATCTGGATTAGAGACTTCCTTACTCTTGATCGCAAATTCGACACCGCACAAATCAACAAGACCTACTTCGAGGAGCTCTTTCACCAATCCGTCAACCTCTACGACTCGATAATAGGAACCTCGGATACGAATCTCGACGGCTTCCGCAAAGCAGGTGGTAAGCTGATTAATTGGCAGGGGCTTGCTGACCAGTATGTTTCGCCTGATACCACAACACATTACGTCAAGGAGGTTTATGAGCGCGACCCAAAAGCGAGTGACTACTATCGGTTCTTTGAGGCGCCGGGTATAAATCACTGTGGTGGTGGACTCGGATGGTATCCCGGAGAAGGGTTGAAGGCGCTCATTGAATGGGTGGAGAATGGCGTGGCTCCGGAAACGCTTGCGGCAGAGACATCAAAGGGACGAAAGGCAAATCTCTGCTTGTGGCCGAAACACCTGGTATACGTCGATGGTAATCCAGACGGGCCGACTTCATTCGAATGCCGGTAGATCACTAGGAGATCTCAGGGGCTGAGTCAGATTGCAGAATCACTGATCTGAGCCCAAACAATGTGGGTTGCAGAACATGAAAACACCAACTAAAGTCCTTGGAGAATGGTACCAGGGGCTTACAAGTATTATCGTGGCAGTTTTGAGAGCTAATGAAAAAGCAAATACTCTCACTTGTTCGAACCTGTGGCGTTCTTATCGTTATCGTCACGTGAGCCAGCATCCCACCATTGACCTGGTGGCATGATACTCAGCTAAACCTCATCACCCCTTGCACTACCCGAGATAAGCATCCGCTCCCTTTGTGCCTATAAAATGCCTGGATTACTTTCTCTCCCCACTGAGCTCTTGCAGCAAATTGCTTCTTCACTACCCTGCTCCTCAGCCCTTAACCTACTTCGTGTCAACCACCAGCTACGCAAAGCATGTAACGACCGTCTGGTCTTCCAGCAAATTGCCAAACGTGATTTGAACTACTCTTCCCTCTCCAAATGGGGACTCTACGATGGCCTAATACTATTCGAAGACGACGATCCCCTTCTAACCTCAGCCTCACTGCCCGAGACCATCCGCCTCGCCTTCGCAGCCGAAAAATGCATCAAATCCTCGACCAAAAAGTCCGACGCCTGGGTCTTCAAAGTCCCAAAGAACACTAGGAGATACGACATCCTCGACTGGGTCCCCCACATGACAGCCTTGGGACACTGCGCCATGTCCTCCCTAAAACCCGAATCCTTTGTCATCATCTACGACGACCTGCTCACGTACAAATTCCCGGAAAACGATCTTATTGCTACAAACTTTGTGATTACCTGCACGTTGCTCCACCAACTCCGCTACTGCATCAGCGCCGAAACCCAGGTCAAGAAACCGCTAGACAGGCACTTCAAAGCAAACCCTGGCAGATCCCAAACTTCGCATGCAGATTCAATCACTCACCTTCGCAACCGCGTCCGCAGCTACGGCAGCTTTAAACAAGACTTCCACCTCGACGAAGCCGCCGCACTCTTGCCCGCTTTCCTACTAGAACTAGCCGTCTACCGCCTCTTTCCTGAGCAGTTGCGCCGCCAGCTCCCCGCGGTATCAAGTATATGTTTTAGAGAGCTGATGCAAATCCCACCCTTGTTCCCGCAAGACCCTTCGTCCAGCCCTTCGTTTGCCGAATGCCACGTGCAGAAAATGGTAACGCCGGGCTTTCTGGGGGGGAAATGGACGGGCTATTATTCTGAGCAGAGGGACTCGGCGCATGTGCGCTCGTTTGATCCGCCCATGCGCGATATCAATATCGTGGCGCGGGCGCCAGAGGGTGCGTCGGATGTGGCTGCTGTGATTGATCGCGAAACGAGGGGTGTAGATGCTCATGGTGAGTTTTCGCTTCAGGGCCGCGTCAAGAAGAATGGGCAGGTGGAGCTGGTGAAGCGGTATATTGTGAATGCGTGGACGTGGTCGTGGATGGGCTGTATGACACCATTTGGTATTGCGGGGACGTGGGGACACGAGTCTGCTGAGTTGGATGAGTTTGATAGTTTTGGGGGCTACTTTTGGATTTGGAAGGAGGACTGGTGTGATGGGGATAGGTGAGATGTAAAAGCATGTCTATCTACAATTGTCTTTCTTGTATTACATAAAATGGTTTTAAAACCTGCGAAGCAAAAGAATTAGGCTGTGTTTGGGGTATAATGTCCTCCGCACGCAAAACAAGAAAAAGAAAGAGGAAACAGGCGAGTTCTATCCAGAACAACTCACTCTGCCTCGGCATTCTCCGTCTCATCCAAGGCCTGCATAACCTCTTCCATCTCTTTGGGGCTAGTGATGCCCCAGACGCCACCTCCCTTGACAGACCCCTTCATTCCCACTTCTTTGCCTACCAGATTCCTGCCGACTTTACCTGGCCCGATACCCACATAGCGCATGATTTTCTCTTGTTCATGGAGATACTTTATGCTCTTCCACCATTGCACTGTTTCGACACAACTGCGCGCGAGTAGGTCCTTGAGCTGGTCCTTGTCGGTGAAAGGCTTGCCCGAAACATTGGATATGCACGGCAATATGCCAGGCCATGTCACTATGTCACGCCCGTCTTTGGTCTCCCTGTGCAAAATCTGCTTCATGGTCTCTTGGGCAGGCTTCATGAGAGGGCTGTGAAAGGGGGCGTCGGACTTGAGGCGGACATGGCGTGGATCATGACCACCGAATTGGCGGAGATTGGTCAGCAGTGTGTTTATGCGGGTAATGCTTCCACTGAGCACGATCTGGTTCTTGGAGTTGAGGTTGGCGATGGCGACTTGCTGGACGGCAGGAAGAGAGTCGTGGGAATCTGCCTTTGAGCCGAGTGCGAGGAACTCGTGTATGCCTTGGATGAGGGATTGCATGTGCTCTTCCGATTCACAGACCAAAGCTACCATGCCGAACTCGCCGCCTTCTTCTGCTACGGCCTCCTGGCTGCATTTGGCCATGACCTCTGCTCGCCTCCGTACCATCTTCAGCGCATCGGCAAAGGTGAGGTAACCGCCGGCGACGAGTGCAGCAAACTCTCCTAGAGAATGGCCAAGGGTGATGTCGACACGCTCGCCCGTCTTGAAACCAAATTCCTTTTCCAGTATGCGCAGGATCAGAATTGACGTGGCCATGATAGCAGGCTGCGCATTCTCGGTCCTTGTGAGCTCAGCATTAGTGCCGGATTCTATGACTTTTGTAAGAGGAAGCTTGAGCGTGTCATCGATTTCCTCGAGAATGGGCTTCGCGGTTCCGGGAAAGGCTTCTAGCCATGGCGTGCACATGCCCACGCGCTGGACTCCCTGACCTGGCTTCAGTCAGTAGGCTGTGCCGCGAGGACGGGACATGACGATGGGATGGTACCAGGAAAGAAGATGGCCGTCTTTGGTCGCTTGATTGGTGCATCTCGCACGCCGCTCATCCAGCGCCGTGGGGCAGGCGGGCAGCGTTTGACGGGCTGTCCGCATTGCATGCAGCGTCGCGACAGGCGCGGACATGCGTTGACGACTGGCGAGAGAGGGCGAGACATGGCGAAGCAAGCGGCTACGGTAGTTCTGGAATCATGACTGAGAGACCATGTAAGATCCGCAGACATGCGGAGCTCCTGGACGCGGGGAATTGACGTGGACCCGGCCGCCCGGCTTAGTGCTAGTCGTCCCCCAGTGGCATTACCGTGGGGTCGACGGGCCCCTCCCACGGCCGAGGTCTTGCTTTCCCGCCCTCCCCCACCGACGCTGCTGCTACTGCTACTGCTACTGCTACCATGACTCGGGTCACATGACATGTCCATGTATGTGTTCAATGTATTTAATCCATACCCATCCATATATACATACAGCCCCGAATGGACCGCAAAGCCATCATGCACCTTGAATGTTGAGCCCAGCATCAACCTGGATTCGCATGCCCGTCATGCTGGTATTCTTCGCCAGCATCACAAACGCAGCCACGCAGTCATCCAGGAACGCCTCGTGCTTCAGGGCTGCTGTCGCCTTGAGTGTTTTGATGCGCTCTTCCGAGTACTTGAGTCCCTAATAATTGGTCAGCATTAGACAGTGGGCCGTCGTTGTGCGACAAGAGACGTGTGCTTCGTACCCATTCAGTCAACAGCAAGCCAGGAAGAACCGTGTTGACGCGTATCGTGGGTCCAACAGTCACAGCAAGGCACTTTACTAATTGCAGTTGCGCTGCTTTTGTGACGGAATACGGCATACTGCTCCCTCCCTGGCCGATAGCCTGTCATGAGTTAGTACCCATGCACCAGCCAGTCATGTACGCAAGCGACATACAGCAATACTCCCCGTCGTAATCATGTGCCCGCCATCAGGATTGGCATCAAATGTGGCTCTGGCCTCGGAAAGTAATGCCTTGGGAACTTTGACGTTTGCATTCCAGCACTTGTCCCACTCTTCTTCCGACATGGAGTCGAGATCCTCCCACGCAGCGAAGCGTGTCCATCCCTGAATTTCCGTCAGCTAGCATTCTGTCGATGCAACACATCATTGCACAACAGCATGCATACCGCGTTTGAAATGATCAAATCAAGGCCGCATAGCTGCTTAATCGTCTCCTGAACTACTCGTCTCGCTTCCGACGTCGACGTCATGTCCTATGATCCTTAGTCCCATGCTTACACTTCCAAACGCAGGGCAAATCTTACCGCCTTGATGACTACAGCTTTGACTCCCAGCTCTTCACATGCTTGCTGTACCTTCTGGGCAGGTTCGAGGCGGTTGAAATAGTTAACGGCAATGTTGGCGCCTTCCTTTGCAAAAGTCTTGCAGATCAGTTCTCCCAGACCGCTGGGCGATTGTCAGCAATAATTTCCCAAACAACCAAGCCCGTATAGCCATCTGCTATCAAAGTATCCCTCCTTGTCACTCACGCTGATCCGCCTGTCACAAGGACATTCCGATTTTTGAGGTCGTACGGCATGTTTTGCTGCTAAGTGGCAATCTTGGCTCTATTTTAGAATTTGGCAAATGAATTAATTGTCTCGAGGAAAACTTGACAATGCCAGGTAGATACGGGGAGGCCAAGGTCGAAGCAAGCCGACAATAAGTATATGTGCAGGTGTGGGGCAAGCGCTTCGGGAACTGTGTGCATACGGAAAAAGCACCCCGCCTCAGTCATACACTACTAATACGTACTCGTTCGGATCAGTACCACGACCTCGGCCCACTTCATCACACCGTTTACCCATATTCCGATCCAATCATCCGTCCTCATATACCGAGTTCATACAATATTCATATCTTCATTCACAATGAGCTGGTATATCCCGGCATCCCGATTCGGAAGCTTAGTATATCGAGGCCATCGTAATCATGATGGCCAGGCTACTCAAGGACCCTGACATTGTGGCAAGTCAACCAAAAGTCAGGTGGGCAAATGCAGGCTTCACAAGTTGAGATAAGCTGACTGGCTTCTGGAAGATTTATTCGACAAGATTGCGCTCATCTGCCTCGAGCGTTTGCCATCTGTGAATTTGACTGGCCCTTCAATTCTCAGCCGTCCTACCTTCTCGCATGCTCACTTCTTCTTATACTACTGCCCGCTTCGAATTAGTATATCCAAAATATCTATATTGACAAGGACCGAGCTCATGAACCAAATACCGCCCAAACAACATTATTTGCGTGCACTGCGCTGAACCAAGGTTGGGTTGGACGGCCACAAAGTATTTGCACCACTGGTGCTCGTGCCTGCCAAGAAGTTTCGGTCATTCATCACGTCCGACCATCTTCGTTCTCAGTGCAGCACGCTTCTCTCCTCCCTTTCCTTCTCCTACCAATCCCGCGTCTGGAGGCAACATTTTTTATCCCTTAGGCATGGATTTCATGATCAAGGAATGGACGGTCCTTTTGGACCGCTGTTTGGAGCGCCGCGTCCAATCTGATGTTTTCGCTGCCGCAGTCGCGCAGCTACACGCCAAGTCTCCACTGCCAGGCCGGAAACTCGCCTCTCTGCTTCTTCGCCCACGCGTCGCAGATAACACCAATATCGACCCACGCACTGTAATTTACCTCGAGCAACTGTTGTCGCTGAAGAAGCTTGACGCTTCCGACGTTTTGATTGTCGCGCTTCTGTACTCCAAAGTTCGACTACCAATCAAGACAGAAGAGAAGCCCTCAAAAGATGTGAAATGGAGCAACCCACCAGAATTGGAGGAACTCGTTTTTCATCGTTTGCACAAGGTCTTTGCTGCAGAGGAACGCCCCGTCAACAATGTCGAGGCTGTGCACACCCTAGCTGTTGTAGCACGATGGATGCAGGCAATGGTCACCTCGCATACCAGCGATACCATGATTCAGGCCATGGCTGGCATACAACAGCCACAACAGCAGTCCATTAACGTGCGAGAAGGCCTCGCTATGCTCGTGGTTGGGGTAATCGAAAATTCAAAAATCCTCCGAATACTGAACCACCCAAAAGCTAAAGGTAAGCTCTCCTTGCGCACAGACTCCAGCACCATTACGAAAGGCGTAAATCAGCTATGCACAGTTCTGGCAAAATTCACAGCAGTGTGCCAAGTACGAGGGCCTGATGTTCACTACCGCTGTCCGTAATTGCCGCTGTTGATAAACGCCCCTGTTTTGGAGCAATGACTATGCAATTTCATCCCACAACGAGACTAAAGAGTGTTACTCACAATTGATTAGAGGTGCGCAAGGAACTGACAAAATCTCTCTCATCATTTATCCCATTTCTCTCAAACAACTCGGCGGGGTCTCAGACATCTCTGTCGCTAGCAAACAGGCTAGAGATCTCGCAAAAACAACACGATTTGTACGAAAAGCTTCCAAACGTCAATGGCGAGGGAAATGAGAGCGCCGGTCTTGAAGTTGCTGCGCTTCAGCTTGATGCAGTAATGGAGCTACCGCAGGCGAATACGCGAGCTGGTCTCTACGTATTTCTGAATTCGTTAGTAAGTCATCACGTTACTGACATTGTCCACTCACCACTAACAGTCACAAGCTCGTTGCACGACCACTAACTGATGACTTTGTTATCATTAGCCACTTACATACGCGTTACAAGCTAGAACCTCAGAACATGGCAACTGATCTAATCACGGCTGCTTTCGACATTCTCGCCAACGCCATGTACCGCAATGAGCCTACTCAGACCTTGTTCTACCTGAAGTCTTTTTTGATCAACAAGATTCCTACTATTCTGACGCAGATTTCCGGCTCAATATTTCCAATGACAGTTGAGATGTGCATTACCCAGGCGCTGAGTCACGTGGATCCAAACGCTTTTCCGTCTTTCTCACAAGGGTTTGACGATATTATGGGGAGCAACAACTCTCTTTCAGATGTCAGACAGGATTATCTCAACGCCTGTGTGCTTCATGGTCTCCTTCCAGCGGGTACTGTAGAGCGCCTCTTGGGGGAAGCACCTATGCAAGGACCACCCGCGAAGAGATACGAGAGGAAGGAATTGCTTAATCAGTGTAAATCCAACTTCGACAAGGTCAGCGTATACATTGATGAACTTGAGAATCTTGATGGAAATGCTGGCGCTATTGTTGCAGCTGTGGCAGACGTATGATCCGATCCTTTCTTTGCGTGAAATAGCGTACTAATTTGGTCATAGTTCATTTCACATCTTTGCGATACACAAACGACCATGTATCTAAAGCAGCTTTGTTGTTTGATTTTCAAGAAACCCCAAGCAATGGATGTGATGCTACAGTTCACCTCCCCAGCGAGCATACTACGACCGTTGTGCCAGTTTCTCGAGGACTGGCATTATGATAGCGATCAAGGTAAGATCTCACTTGAAAACAATACGTGCAATCTCTAAAAAGAACAGGCGAATACCAACCCGTATACGACGAGTTTGGTGCTATACTTGTTCTCATCATGGCTTTTGTATACCGCTATGATCTGGTGTACCATGACATCGGCATTAGTCACGATACATTCATCGCGAAGCTATTGCAGCGTGGACATCACAGCATACCACCAGATGAATTGACCGAAGAACAGGGCAGGCATCTTGGAAGCTGGCTCAAAGGTCTCTATGACTCGGACAAGGAAGGTTTGAGTAACGAAGTCTTCGCGTCATGTCGGCCGCAAGACTTTTACTTGATTGTACCAACCCTTTTCCATCAGACAGTGGTGGCTTGCTCCCTCGGTGTTTTGTCTTTCGAAACCGTCAAAGGTGGTCTAGAATGTAAGCAGACTCTAATTCTGTCAATTTTTCCCATGTATAGATGCTCACAAACGTTCAGATTTGGGTGAAACATTTCTCATGCCGTCGCTAATCGGAGGTTTGACCTGGATGGCTTCCTATGCCCTACTACAGACCCACAACGACCTGGACGCAATGACACGCATTTTCAACGCGATTTTACTCTCCGCACCATCATCTGGAGACGCACAGGCTATGCACTCGACTATCATAGCCATGGTGTCAAGTCGCCTGGAGAAGTGCTTCCGTACACTACAGCGACGAGAACCGAATCGCAACAACCTCGACTCCTTTTTGCAGGCCATCAAAATGCACGCACATTATGAACGTACCGTGTTCGCCACACTGAAGGAGCTGGATCAATGGACGAATGCACCTAACAGCACATTGAATACTTCACTGCGACACACTGTGCAACAGCTCTCACAATGGGCTTCAACAGCTTCGATGCAACCGAACCCGCCAAGCTATACACACCGTCAACTATACGCTTCGCTGAAGATGCTGGGTGCGGCCCGGACATTACGGGCTATTGTAGACGAAGTGAAGACGCAGACTGATGGTGGTAACGGAGCAGCGGCGCTTGACGTTGGGGTATCCATTATTTGTTCTCCAACTGTTGAGGACAGCCCCATTTCGGTAGACTGGGTGGGAAGCACAGTACCAGCGCCCACACCACAGCGAACGCGTATGAACCTACGAGAGATGCTGAAGCAGGATTTCGACAATGCAGCCAGCCTAGTCGCTACCGATCCCCTGACCGCGGAGACAATAGTGCGCTTACACCGGCGCGTCGAAGCACACTTTACATCACTAGCGGAGAGCGGACTTCAAGCACCTCCAATCAGCATACCAAGCGTCAACATTGCAGACATGCAATCGCAATCTATTTCCGAGCACCTGAACCGTGCCATGGACGACGCAGCAGCAGCGAGCATGGTCGAGGATATTTCCAATATGGATAACAAGGCTCTCCAGCGCAGCATGGACGAGCTTGCCAACACTGAGGGGCTGGACCTGTCGGGCATCGGTATGGGTAATGGTGATGCAGGAACTGGTGATATGAGCACGGATCTGGGTAACTTACCGGACTTGGACCTAGGTGATATGGGAGGCATGGGTATAGACATGGACATGAACATGGACATGGGTGGAGGCGGAGGAGGTGATGATGACTGGGGACTTGATTTCGACAACATGTAGATGATGGTTAGATACTGTAGCGTGATGCAGAGTATTGATAAGAGGACTTGAGATATATGTTGGTTAGTTATACTCCGTTTGAAAACTGAGTAAATGTATTCTTCATCCAAGTAGTGACTTTTCTGATTCTGATCTATCTTCAGCTGCTTGATCAGCCAACTATACATATTCAACCAAGACGCGAGACTAATATCAATATGGTATTGAACAGAAGCAGCAGCACCAGCAAAAAACGAGACAAAGACTGGAAGAGACAAAAAAACAGGGAATGCACACATATACAAAAGTGGGAGTCTAAAATCCGAAATACAAGCATGATTGCTTACTGCCGCGGAGGAAACCAGGATGATTTCAAAGACGGCTAATACTCAAAAAAAAATCAGGCCATTCCTCTCAACCTAACCCCCTTTACACCAACTCCACCTCCCCAACCATCCCATTTACCGAAGGGGGGGGGGGGGGGGAGGAGAGTTATAAAAAAAAAAGAATAAATTCCGAACGCTTGACAGAACAAATAACGGGGCCAAAAGTGCGGGTTGGCAATGTGACAAGGGAGAAAAAAAAAACAGGAAGTAAAGTAGATGATGGGAAGAGGGAAGGAAAGAACCCAGAAAACTCCAGCCAACTCCATACGTCAAGTGCGAAAAAACACACACAGAGAGAGAGTGTGTTTTTGATATATCAGTAAGAGAAGAATTTCACGACTCGTGTCGCGAAGGCGGCGCATCGTCAAGATGCTGATCCCCATCACGCGCATCAGGGGCCCGCGGACCGACCATCCAATCCTCCATGGCGAGCCACTGACTCCAAGTCTTCTCCGCGCCCTCAATCTCTGCGAGTTGGACTTCCTGGAGGGGTTTGAGAAAGGGGACAGATTCATGGGGGGACATGTCGTAGTGGCATTTGACCTTGGCCCAGCCGACGCTTTTCGCGGTGAAGAGGTAGTTGCGGCGCTCGCACTCGTGCATGGGACCGACGCCTTTACGCCAGTCCTCGCCGAAGAAGCCGTGCATGATGCCTGCGCTGTCCATGCCGGTGACAACGAGGCGGCGGATAAAAGGGACGAGCGAGACCCAGGCTGGCGGCGGGGGCGGCGGCTGTGCGGCGTGGTGGTGGTGGAGGTGGTGGCCTCCGCCTACACTGCTGCTGCTTGCTACTCCAACACCAGCCATACCGCCGGGCACGCGCGACGAAGTGACTGGGCCTTGGCGTGGCCACCCCATGTTGTAAGCGGCGGGGCCCGAGGCATGCGGCAGCGGGCCCGAGGAGCTGAGCAGCGGGTTCTGCGACCATTGGAAGGGCAGGCAGATGTTGATGAGGGCGCACACGGCCTGGACGCCATTGTCGTGCTGGGCGTGGTCGAGGAAGTAGCGCTGGCAGCTTTGGTATGCGGGGTGCCATTCGAAAATGTCAAAGTGCGGTTCGGCCGCCGGCTGGAGGGGCGGTGGTCCTCCTCCTGCGTGCGCGTGCGGCGACTCTGCTGCGCCTGATGATGAGGAGCCCCCACCGCTGTGGTGCGCAAAGGTTCCTCCGCCGCCGCGTGCTTGAAAGGTTGGGTATCCCGCGGGGAAGTTTGTGGTAAAGCCGGGTAGGCTTGCCATGGCGAGCGCTACTACTGCAGGAACGGCTGAAAAAGGTCGTCAGTCTCGGTTGATTCTGGGTTGCTGTGATTTTTGGTTGGTCGGGTTTTTCTTCCGGTGCAGATAGTAAAGAGGGGAGGGGGGTTGTGTACGTGCTTAAGTTGAGGGAGTTGGGAGAGAGAGAGAGAGAGACGGAAAGATAGAGGACTAAGAGTGTTTTTGAGAGAGAGAGAGAGAAAGCACGCAAGCTTTGCGACTTACCGAGCTGCTTGCCGCAGAGGTGGAATTTCACAAGCTCTATTGGCAGGTTTGGTCGGGGTATTTTTTTTTATAAAATACCAACGCGGGAGGGGGAAGGGAAAAAAAAAGAAAGGGCAGGGTCTCAGAGTCCAAGGGCAAGATTGTGGTGAGCAAATAAGATCAATGACGAAACGACCTGGTGGCAGATGAGGTCAGTGCCGCTGGACGAATACTGTCGGGTCGAGGAGGATGCAAGATGGATGGGATAGTGGCGGTGGGGTGGGAATTGAAAGAGGAGCTGAGAAGTGGAGCGCTACAAGATACTTTATATTGGCGAGAGGGTGAGTATTTGCGGCCATGAGGCTCCCATCTAGTACCTGGTGGTATGGAGCTGTGGCTTCGATCACGGCCGCCAGCTTTTGCCTCGAGACGACCATCCCAGCCTTATTGAGATGGAAGCAATTTTAGAATAATCCCGGCGGTGATCCAGTCGAGGCGCCTCGGCTCTAACATGTCTTCTGGTGTGGAGCCCAGCATGGTGGCTATGCGTTCGCGGGTTCGCGCATGGTTGACGCCCCTGCCAAACCAGTCTATGCTAAACCACTGTACGCGGGCGGGCGAATCGTCAACCCTGCCCCTCCATACTTGCTTACATACGGACATGGATTCTCTGCCATGTCGTTGGCTGTTCCCGTCCCGCGCTCTGGCCTATGGTTGCAACCGCTCGTTCTGTTTCCTTGTAGCCGCAAAGGTTATGATGTACCATGCATGTCCCTAGGTCCGGGGAGAGGATGGTGAACGAGGCTAGATCCAGGCGGCAAAGGCCGAAGAGATCCATGCACATTGAATCGCAATGGATGCTTGCCCCCAAATCGTAAACGGGGGTTTGGTCGTATCTTGGGGTCGTCAATCGCGGGAGAGTGAACCATAGCAATGGGTTGTGTGACGGATGCACATGTAAGCGGAAAAGCCACAATAGAATGCGGCCACCAGTGCGCTGGCTTGCATTCATTCCAGGGCCGTGGTAACCCTCCAGGAAGGTTGCCCAACAGGAAGATGCTCGCCGATCCTATAGGGTCCAGGCTCTTTTTTTAACCAGATGTGAGGCTGCCATGGTCATGCTGTGTAACATATAGGCGCCAGGCGTAAGAGAAGCCAGGCACGGAGAAAGCGGCCGTCGGCGTTATACATGAAGGTAGATGTACATGTGTATACACATACAAAGCTAGCGTATACAGACGACGCGAACAATAAAGGTGAAGGGTAACTTGGCACGTGCGTGTGACATGTCGAACCCCTGGCCGTGGGCTGCGATCGCGATCGCGATGGTTCAGCAACCCCGGCCACAAAGCGGGCCATGATGTAACCAGCACCTCACCGAGCAGATCCGTGATGCCGCAGACGTCCATTCCTCGCCCTCTTGGCTGGCCCTTTGCAGCTTCACAACAATAAATTTGGATCCGAGACACTACCGACCGCATTGGCAATGGCTCAGTCGTCGTTTTCATTGGCTTCGCGGACAAAGGTGCGCAGTATGCGGTTACACAAGATGGCACCCATCTCTGATCCATGCAGCTTTCCAATGGATTGTCCATGCCCACCATCCAACTGGGAGTGTATTTGACGTCCGGCAAGGAAACGTATCAAGCCGTGCGGTGGGCGCTAGAGGTAAGCAAGCAATCCGCGTGGTAATATTCCCCGTGGCTAGTGCACAGCATGCTTACAACACCAAGGCGGGATATCGAGGGTAGGGCATCACGGAGGAGCAGTCTGGCTCTCGCCCCAAAACGGATCGTGGATGACGCGTGCAACAGGGTCGACTCGGCGCAGATGTACCACAACGAGCGCGAGACGGGCAAGGCCATTAGTGATTTTCTTGAGAGCGAGGCAAATGTGCACTCGCTCAAGCGCGAGGATATCCACTTCACGTCCAAGCTCGCGTCCAATTCTGCGTATGAAACGGCTCGCAAAGCCATCAAGAGATCGGTCAAGGAAGCGGGGCTGGGCTACATTGACCTTTTCCTGCTGCACTCCCCGTATGGCGGCAAGCAGGCACGGCTGGACAGCTGGCGAGCCGTCGAGGACGCAATCGACGATGGCGAGGTCAGGATTGGAGGCGTGTCCAACTATGGCGTAAAGCATGTGAGTAGTTCTGACCCTGGACCCTGGCGGCCATGATGGATGATGGGCGGGCCTTTACTTCACTCCTCCTCGGTCGGGAAGTCCCGTACCTCTCGCGGCCTTGGCGCGAACACCGGGCCTGAAGAGGCAATCTGTGCAATGGCTTTTCAATTATTGAATTGCGCAGAAACGAGTCATTGCAGCCCTTGGGCGCCCGACTTCGCCGAAGTCAGCTGCTTGCTTTGTAGAGAGGTTTTTGTTGTTTGCTGACCAGCGGCCGACTCTAGTTGCAAGAGCTGCTCGACTCGAAGCCGAGGATTGCTCCCGCGGTCAACCAGATTGAAGTCCATCCCTTCAATACCCGCAAGGACATTAGCTCGTTTTGCCAGCAGCACAATATTGTCGTCGAGGCATATGCCCCACTTGTTCGCGCCCTGCGGATGAAGCATCCGACCATTGTGTCTCTCGCCAACAAGTATTCCTGCACCCCTGCCCAGCTGCTGGTCCGCTGGAGTCTCCAGCACGGCTATGTTGCGCTGCCCAAGAGCGTCAAGAAGGAGCGCATGATTGAGAATGCTCAGGTTGGGGGCTTCGAGATTGAGGCTGCCGACGTCGAGGCGATGGATGCTCTGGACGAGTACTTGGTGACTGGTACGTTACTCACGTGGCTGCACGCTATGGTTTTGTAGCTTTTACTAACAAATGTTTTTTCTTCCACTTCCAGACTGGGACCCTACCGACTGCCCTTGAGCGTGGAGGTGGTCAGGTCGCGTGCGTGCGTGGGGGTTTGGGTAGCCAAGCCGTGGAGGATGGGCGTGTTGTGGTACAATGTACATACATGCGTTTACATACAAACTACGAGCGGACATGGGCAAATTTGATATTATGGAATTGCATGAGATGTGTGTACTACAGTGAAGAGGTGAAGACGCTCCAGTCCATTTTTTGCCATTACTACTCGCGCAAACTACCTACTAATAGAGCACAAGTCGACGCAAGCCGTGCAATGCAACAATAGTCGAGGTCGAGCATTCATCTCCAAAGACACGCAATACTACCGTTACCACTGCTAAACAAGTCAGGGTGTCGCGTGTGCGTGTGCGTGTGCATGTGCGTGTGCGTGCACGTCGGGCACGGGATGCATGGGTTGCACCTAGTACGTACAGCCCCCAGCCCACATGCTCGCGGCGGCGCCCGCCCTCGCCGCCTTATCCTCTGGCCTGACAAGCGACTAGCAAAACCTCAACGTAACCCGCCCTCCGCGCCGACGTCGGCATCCCTCGCGCCCCATGGATAGACAGCCTTGACTGTGTGCAATTACAGCGCCGCCACCAGCCTGAAGTGCCCGCATCCCGCCTGCTACACGTGCAAACGCGCCGCGATACACGGCCTTGCCCGCCCATTGGCCCGTTGCTTATCAGTGCAAAAAGTGTACACCACGGTTTGCATCAACATGGCGCATAGTAGCCTGCCCGCGACCATTCAGCGCCTCCCCGCCGCCCAATCGCACGGCCTGTGACGTACTGAATTCGACTACCATTTTGCTCCGCTACCGTCGTCGCAATGCCCTCCCGCCAGCGGCCAACCCTCCAGCCCACGGAGACTGCTATTATATATACCACTGAACTTCTGCTCCTGCCTCTTCACAGCAACTTCTCAGACTCCAACTCGGTCAATCTTCTTACCCAGACACTTATCCACCAAGACACTCGACTCCCACTTCATCATGTCTGAGCCCGAGTTTGAGCAGGCCAGGAAGGGTATGTCCGCGGCTTGACATTGCCATCTACCCATTGCCCCAGCACTACTAACCCTCTCCCATAGAGCTCGTCTCCACCCTCGAGGCCTCTTCCCTCTTCACCAAGAACCCCGAGTACAAGAAGGCCCTCGAGGTAGTCTCCATCCCCGAGCGCATCATCCAGTTCCGCGTCGTCTGGGAGAACGACAAGGGCGAGTGCCAGGTCCAGAAGGGTTACCGCGTGCAATTCAACTCTGCACTTGGTCCCTACAAGGGCGGTCTCCGCTTCCACCCCACTGTCAACCTGTCTATCCTCAAGTTCTTGGGCTTTGAGCAAATCTTCAAGAATGCCCTCACTGGACGTACGTCATCTACCCCAACCCATCCCACTTTGTGCATAACTAACATTCTTCCATAGTCAACATGGGCGGTGGCAAGGGAGGTTGCGACTTTGACCCCAAGGGCAAGTCCGACAACGAGATCCGCAAGTTCTGTGTTGCCTTCATGAGGGAACTCAACAAGCACATTGGTAAGTCCACACCCCTAGCGCGTCTTTGACATTTCCCCCCGGTGGGGCATGCACCCGCAACGGCCTCGCATGCCTGCATTCCGACTGCACGCCATTCAGAGACCCGCAGATCAGTCTTGCCTATCTTCCCGTCTACTCTAGTTTATCCGTCGGCGACGTTCGCTGTCCTCTTGGTACCCCAATGGAACATTTGACTTACGTAAATTTACAGGTGCCGACACCGACGTTCCTGCGGGCGATATCGGCGTAGGAGGCCGCGAGATTGGCTACCTCTTTGGCGCATACCGAGCGGAGCGCAACCGCTGGGAGGGTGTCCTTACCGGCAAGGGAGGCTCATGGGGAGGTTCATTGATCCGTCCCGAGGCCACTGGCTACGGTCTCGTCTACTATGTC